TGGAGTATTTTGGCTTTTGTGAGATTCTAAAAAATAAAATAAAAAACATTGAAAACTTTCTCCACACAATGCTCTTGAGAGTAATTACGGGGAGATGAGTAGTTCAATTATACTCCTACAGTTATGTAAGTAATAATTAAGCATTAAAAAATAGACATTCCAAATTGAAATTTCACATTTTATTAGGTCGTTCAGAAATTTCAACATCAAAGCTAAGTTACATCGTGGCATTTATATTCAAAATTTTTCATACAAAATTTCTGGACGATTAAAATATTTTATAACCATAGAACTAAAAAATTGGCATTTATTAACTGCTATAGAACACTTTTCTTTTTTATTATACGATAATTTTAAACTTTGGAAATGTTAAACAGTAAGTAACAAATTCATGATCTGCATATTAATCTTAAATGTTTTCCAATTATATTAAATGGTCTTATGTTTTTGTTACTATTATTAATCTTATCGTTTTTCTAAGATTTTTTAAAATTTTAATTAGATAATTAGATTTAGTACTTTTTACAATATAATGGATTTTTTCAAAAATAAACTGTGATCCAGATTACAACTATTATTCATATAATATTTAAGTTTAAATGCATTATAACAAGTATAAACGTGTTATTGCCAATTTTTAATTTTACCGGAGAACTAATGCAAAAAAAATAATTACACTTAACGCATTAAAATTTTTTTTCAGATAAGATTTTTGTAGAATATTGATTAAATAAATTTAGTTCGGATTATTGAATTCTATACAAATTTTACTATAATAAAATATATTTAACTTAATATTGATATATTTGTCAATGAAATGTATTGACTTATGAATTGTTAAATTTGTTAAAAGTTGTTAAATTAAAATTTTGCGTTTTAATTTAGATGTTAGAATATAAAAGCCCTTGTTTTATTTGTTAATTTATGATGTGAAAGTACTGAAAAAATTATTTTAAAAACTATTCACACGATAATGATTTCTTCTATCTTATAAATATATTACAGTAAATTTTAATTTTTAAATTTATGAATTATAATTTGACAGTAATTAAAATTAATAAGCATTGAAAGAAAATATTTTTGTTTTTATTAAAAAAATAAAGATCCGTGTTTTGAATTTTTTGTTCGATTAAAGTAATTAACTTCACCTTTTGGTATTAAGAGTTTTTTATTTCAAATATTTTGAGTTTTATTTTACTTTTTCTATATTTCTTTTAAGAAACAGCCTAATTTAAGAGTATTTAATTAGTAAATGAGTTTTTTATTAATTATTTTTATAGTTTTTACCCTTGTACATAAGGATATATCATCAAATATTGCATTATAAATAGAGAAATTAAAATTATATTTATAAGTAATAAACTGAAACAAAATTAAATATAAAATAACACTCTTACTTAAATGATGGATTAGAAGTACAGTTACTAATAAGTAAGTTTTAACGAACATAAAATAAATAACCAGGTATTTTTACACGAAACAACAAAATAATCACAAAATTTATTAAATTAAGTATTTTTACAACTCAACGTTATAAAATTTAGTTAAAATGTGTAAAAAAAAAAAATTAGTTACTTAAAAATAAATTTTTTTTCTCGAAAAATAATATTATTTAATGAATAAGATAAGCTACGTAAAAATTATTAGATTTAATATACAAATTTAATAAAATAATATAAAAATCTCATTTCTTTTCAAATAAGTATTAAATGTATTATATTAGAACAACATTAGATTTTTTACCGCAAACAAAAATTTTTCATTTAAGTTCCATGACAAAAAAAAATTGAGTATGAAAATAAAATTATGTAATTACTCAATATTGATTTATGAAAATATTCTATATTCAATATTCTATATGTCAAAAAATTCAAGGTTTATAAAATTGTTTAATTAATTTAAAATAGTATTCCCCAGCAGTGAATGAGAACATAAAAGTATGACAAATGGTTACAATCTATACAATGTATTCAGTTTTATCTCTATGATTTTCAAACTATAAAAACATGTAAAAATAGTTCAAAATTTGATATTCATCAACCATTTGATCATAACTTTAAAATAAAAGTAATTATTTCAACATTGGACAATTATCTCGTATGGATTTATACCCAGTTTACTCTACATTTGCATACTAAATACTGTGATATCATTTTGGAACTTTAAGTTGCAACATATATGGTCTTAGCCACTTAATACTTTAATGATACATGACTTCTGCGTACAAAAAAAAAAAATTGAAATGATCTCCCTCGGTCGTTATAGAATACGTATTTCGTACCAAATACGAAAATAGAGAAAATTATCTTTTTAGTTTGTTTCCATTTCGTTACAGAATGTTACCACTATTATTTGGTTGTTTTGATCGTTATTCATTAAGATTGTTTTGTTTTTATGTATTTTACTTTTTAAATATATTAATACTTCATTTTTTTATAATTATTTTTAATTGAAACAATTATTGTAATTATTATTATCCATGATTACATTTTTTATACAAAATTATTTATTATAGTGATTTAGTTAGAAGACGCAAATTTTATTTATTCATTTTTGAAATAACATGTCTTATTTTTATTATTTATTAGCTGATTAATGCAGAAAGAATGTATATAATAAAATCATTTCTTATCTGAGCTGCTCATATTTAAGATATTTAATGAAAAAATAAGCTTACCTAAACTACTTGAAGAATCGCGTGAAGAATCATGGTCATTTACAGATGTACTATATCCTGTAGCTATTTCTAAATTTGGACTGACTTCTTGCCATCCATCTTTACTATCAGCAGTTGCACTAATAGTTCCTTCACTACTACTACTGCTTTCGCCGTCGTTGTCATTTGACATTTTTTTCGGTATGTGTTTCCTTTTTTCTTGACTACTGTCGTTCTGATATCTATTCTTTTTGCGAGATTTCGTAGATTTATCACCATCAAATTTTATCCGCACTTCCTCTGACCAATCTCCATTTCCGTACGTTGGTCGCTCACTACTATCTTCGTTTTTATGCATTTTTTTGCCGTATGTTATAGATGGCATTGAGTTTTTTTCTTCGCTATTACTGATATGTTTAATGCTAGACGATTGTGATGTTGGTGGGACATCAAAAGTTAAAGGCTTTACGTTGTACAGCTGATCTTGCAGAGGATAACTACTTTCTCCTTGACTGTTGTCTTCTACACTGCCACTACCATGTGGTCTTCGCTGATTATGTTTTCCTCTGGCTTGTCTAGACCGCAACGCTAAACTTTGTTGATTTTGGTGGTCTAAGCCTTCTGAAGTGTACATTTCAGCAGAATTGCTTATTTCTTTGCTGGTGATACTGTGATGATGACCAGTAAAGTTCATCTCTGATGTCAAGGCTGATGGTATCGGTGGATGAGCACTATCACTTATAGAATAACCAGCTGTTGCAGTAACCGAGCCTACAGTGTCAACAGAAATCCGTTTTTCGGCGGCTATCACCAACCGAACAAAGAGTAAAATTACCTAGAAAAATAAATAATAATAATTAATATACATGCATACTTGTATGTTTGTTTCAATTGAAAAAAAATAATAGATTTTCATTAATAACTTTCATACAAAATATTACCAAATTATAAAAACTAGTCATTGTAGATTATATGTATGCTTCTTGGACGACAACAAATCCGTAAAATAATTGTTAATGAAAAATAAAACTTTGTATGCACTAAAACACTATGTCATGGTCTTTACATAAACAACGACAAAAACGAATTTTAAAAATCAAATCTAATATATTGACTCGCACTCGGACGACTTGACAATGAAGATTGGCCAGCGTGGGTTCGTGTTAGAAAATCGTTATTGAACGACTGAAGAGTGTTTTGGCCGCTGTCTTGGTCAATTCCATCAAAACAGTTACAGTTACGCATCAAGAAAGCGGAATAATTGCACATAGATGATGGTGGTGGACAGACAGAAAGTGGAAAACTCATCACAATATATATATATTATGAATTGCACATACACTCGTATGTTTAAAAAATTAAAACAAGTATTGAGAAAAAGCTAATTAAACGGTAAAGAAAGTAAAACCCATAGTTACCTCCTTCTGACATGGTCGTAATACTCAAATGCATTGTTAAATATATGTTCCGTATATTTACATTATGATATGAAATTTTCTCGTATATAAGATAAATTTTGCCTTATCTTCCAAATCATTTTTAATTAGCCCACAATTATCAAATATAAATAAAACACAGGAAATGTTTATGCTACTCATTTACTCCGCTTCAATTACAAAATCCAAATGAATGATGTAAAAAGTAAAAAGGTTAATTTTCTTTAAATGTGGGAGTAGAATAAGAAATTTTAAGTGTTAAATCGGTAAAAGTGAAATCGAAATTACCAATATACAATTTTTATAATAAAATTGTCTTCTCTCAAAAATAACTCTTTTGCAGCAAAGCTTAGTGATGTAATATTTTTAAATAATTTATTCATTTCTACATGTTCGAAAATAATTTGACATTTTTTAATTAATAACGTGGGTTTACACCTAAATCAAAAATTAAGGGACAAGTATATATTTCTAAATATTAACTATAATTAATGAATTAAATAATCATAGTACTACAATATTATTACTATTAAAATTTTAAAATAACCGAATACAAAAGGTTGACAACAAATTTAAATAAACAAAAGTTAATCGATGCAATACTATTAAATATATTGACTGTGTGAATATAAATAAAATTAAACGACATTACAGTATTGAAGACTAATATCTAAAAATTTTTTCATTTCAATAATTATGTATCACATTATTTATTAATTTTAGCACTATTTCATTTATCGTTTATTTTTTTATAAATCATATTATTAAAATGTTATTTACTATATCATACAATAATATAAACATTGACAAGTAATATAATTAATTTAACAAAATTAATTATTATTTAAAACTATTTTTTTTTTAAAGTAAAAAGTCCAGTAGTAAATTTCTATTATTCTTTAATAAAAAAAAAATTTAAATTAATAAATTGATCAAGTTAAGAAAAGCGTATAATCCTTAGTATTAATTAAACTGACATAATGATTACCAAAAAAAAACGTAAATCATGTTTAGTAAAATATTCTTAGAAATAGAAAATTCAATAAAAAATATCATTTCACTTTACAAATATTAGTTAGTGTGATCCAAATTTGGTAAGACACTAGTTTTCACAAAAACTATTGAGGATATTAAATTTTCGTAAAAAAAAAATATTTGATTTAATATACTGTAAAATAATATGTGGTTCAATAATTATTTTTTCGTACTTTTAGAGTTATAAAACCTTAAATTTAATTTTCTTAATTGGGAATCCTTATATTTAACTTCATAATTTAATAGACAAAAAATTATAATCAATTTGGTTCTTAAAATTCTGTTCTTACAATTTTTTATAACCCTGAAAGCAAGATGAAATAATTATTTAATCACATAATATTTTACAGTCTTTTGAAAATAATAATTTTTTTTTTATATAAAAAAATCTTAAACTCTCAATAATTTACGAGGAAATTATTGTACTACCATATTTGGATCACCCTGGATAGTAAATAAATTAACATTTTAGAAACACTAAATAAATTGAATCAACCAACATTTATTATTTGATACAAGTTAACATCTCACGCGTGTAGTTTTAAACGGTTGGGTCAACACATACTCATTTATGATTAAAATCGTTCACAAACTAGGTCAATGACTTAAGATATAATGCTTAAACTGTTTAATTTATAGAATTTAGAGAAATGTAGTATAAATAATATAAATAAATATGATATATAGTTTAAATGAAAAATAAAAAAGTAAAATGCAGTATTATTATAGTAGATCATCAACAAAATATGCAGTATAAAAACATGTTGATATTTTTTAGCTTTCGCTAAAAATTTAGATGCTATTAGTTCTAACATTTATTGCTTTCTGTCTGCTAAAAATAAATTATTAAAAATTTCTGAATTTACTAAGCCATTGTGTAATAATTTTAGAACAGTTTAATGGGGAAAGTATTTTACGTAGATGAATACGATAGATTCTACTAGGTAATTTTTCGTGACGTCTTACTGTAACAGTCATTTTTTATCTTATTGTATTGCATAGTTTGTGCATTATTTGTTACACAGTGATACAAATATAAAGTCGATAAATAAAACAATTATTTCTCTGTACAAACTAAAAAAGCCCAGCATAGTGAAGTTGCAACACAGAAGAAATGTAAAAAATCTGTTGAATTTCATAATTTGTATATTTTTAATTTTATGATTTCTATGATTAAAACTTCAATATTGAATGCTTATTAAATTATTTGCTTAATTGAAAATAACGTTAATTTTTTACTTTAACTGTCAATTAAACATAATAGTGCAATCGTCGGGGAATTGTTTTTTAATATTGTAGTACATTCCATAAACATAAATTTAATGTAGGTTAAGAGTTGTTCGATTTTCCGGAATATTTACTAAATCGAGTTGAAAAAAATGACATATGTGAGTTTCTTTTAAACCCTTCCTGTACTTTAATTTTTGACATATAAATAGCGATATAAAGTTTAGGATCTCTAGTATACTTTTATAATTCTTATTTTGATCATTGTTTTATAAAAATGTTATATCTCTTTAAAATACACAGATATTGATTCAAATCAATCAACGGAAAACTGATAATTTATAGGACAAACGTAAAAAAACACACACCATCATACATATAATCATACGATTTTAGCTTCCCATCTAAGCTAAAATCGTTTAAATCGTTATTGTTTACAATTTAAATTTCATTAATTGTAAAATAACTTAGTCATAATCACAATTTTAATACAATTTATATTTATTCTCTTTCCTCTCATTTTTTTATTATCGTTAATATTATTTTTCTGAAATTTTAAAGGGGATAATTCCCTGCAAGTCACCACAATTAGCGTCTATGAACTTAAACACATACCAGTATATTTATGAATTTAAATGAAAATAAAATAATGAAGTTAGTCCTAGACAAGAGGTGGCTAGGAACATGAACGCCGACCTATAACATCCGCCCCATTCGCAACCTAACCGTCCCATTCATTAAAAGAATCATCAAAAATTTACCAGCCGTGATTAGTGACACACAGTTTTTTTATTTTATTTTTTTTATTCTTAATTAACTATAAAATAATTGTTATATATCTTAAAATTATTTAAACATTAGAAATTTTTTGAAAATGTAGTTATAATACGAAAACATATAATAATATTAAAATATTATTATTAATCATAATAAGCAGAAATATATTTATAAAACGTATACTGGATTTTTACAGTCAATCATTAACCTTAAATTAATTTTTAGAATTTATAACCTATTGTTTTATTAAATTTAAAAAAAATCATAATCATAAACAATAAAAACTTTAAGATATAAGTTTTTAATCAAATTAGTTATTATTGTTATTTTAATACTTCATTTTTTTTATTTATTTGCAGTATTTAAAATTTGCTTAAATTATCTTTACATATTATAAAAATTTTATAAAGTAAATAAGTATTATTTAATTTTGACGTAAATTATAGTAACAAGGAATATAACGAACATAATCATTTAATACTAATAAAATTTAATGATAAATAATGTGTATATTTATTATGCACTTAGTTTATAATTCAGATTGATTGTATTTCATTAATTTACTTAATATGCATACAACATTTTAATTTTATTATTGTGAAAATAATTTTATTTATTTATAAATTAATAAATATTTACAATAAATTTAAATAGGATATCATTCTTCTTAAGTGTGTATTTTTAAATGCAAATGTAATCTGATTATTATAAAATCAAAACAGTATATACATTTTTTATATAATAAGAAAAATAGAAAGATATTTAAATGATCAAAACTGTTATAAATTATTTGTTTTATGTTTATTTATATAACCCAGTATCACATAGATTATTTAAAGTTTAAAATTCTAATAATTAAAAATAGTTAATATCTAAAAACAAATAGTAAAAAATCGTTTTGTACACGAATATTTTGATTTATACCATAAGGACTAAGTTTCTTAAATAAATAAGTATGTTCACATAACATATAACATCAGATTTTTGTATTGCAATGTGATCTCTTAATTAGAAAATCTCAAAGTGCTATAAGCTCCATTGTTAGCTTGTTGAGGTTGTTGTGGTGTTGACTCAAATTTATATGCAAATTCTGAAGTTTTGGTAGGCAAAGCAGTAGTAGACTTAATTCCAGATGAAAATTCGCTCTTCAATGAAGGTTGAATACGTGCTTGTTCTACTGGAGCTGAGTTAAAAGACACAATAGATTGTTGGGGTTGTTGTGGAACGGATGGTAAATTGACGTAGAATTGTGGCTGTTGATATTGCTGTGGGATTGCTGTATATTGGATTTGTTGTTGAGTGTTTGGAGCTAATACACTCTTAACTTGGGGAGTTGTTGGATGATGAGTAATGAAGGCAAATTCGGATGGGGGAACAGCTGCTTGTGGTTGTTGAACGTATTGTGAAGCTGGAGCAGTTTCGACAAATTGTCCCTGTTGTTGCTTGAAATTTGCCAAACTTGGTGCAGCTTCAACAAATTGTCCTTGTTGTTGCTTGAAATTAGCCAAACTTGGTGCAGCTTCAACAAATTGTCCTTGTTGTTTGAAACTGGCTAAAGCTGGATCATTTGCGACGAATTGTGGTTTAAACTCTGAAGGAGCTAATTTGTTAAGAGGTGATGAAGTAGAAGGTAATAAGGCAGAAGATGATGATTGTTTGGTAACGTATTGTGGAATAGCAGATGGTTGAGGTGCTTGTACATAATACTGTTGTGTGTTGAAAGCTGCAGGGTTAATAAACATATACTGTATGCCTGGGAAGTCAAATGCTGTTGGGAATTGTTGAGCTAAGAGCTGTTGTTGTCCTTGGTATGGTTGAATATAGTATTGAGGTTGAGGATATCCTAAGATTTGATTAGGTGGTTGTTGTAGTTGCTGCTGAGCTTGGAAAGAAGGTGTAGCAGATTGTGGAGTTTTTCCAAATGACTGTTGTGGTTTAGAACTAGGTGTTGATGAGAAGTCACGTTCGATATCTTCTAAACGAGTTTGTGTTTGAACTGCTGGACCGTTTTGAAAAGTGGACTGAGATAGTGATTGTGTTTGATATTGGGATGGTGAGTTGGTATGTGTTTGTGCCAAACACATACTGGCTAAGGTGAATACTAAACCAATAGAAAACATCTGCAAAAATATAAGTACAACTTTGTATTAATTTTTAATTTTTCGGAGTTGATAGTATATAAAAAATCTTATTTACCTTGTATGACATGTTTGTATATTGTTTTTTAGTTAATGTTCACTGAAGCTCAGATTGAAGCAACTGATGTATATTTCGAGATTTAATAGCAGTTATATACTCAAACGTATCTACACAATTTGAATACTAATCGTAATGACTTTGTATTGAGATAATAGGACATCGTTTTATTGGTGGGATTTGAAATAAACCAGTCAACTTGTTTTATGCGGATAGATGTACACTTAACGTAACGTTTCCGGATTTTTTTTGTGTTTAAGAACATAAACGGCTATTAACTCAGCATTAGTTGATGGTCCAGTTTCACTTTCTTCTCATCAGATTCACTGTCCCTTGTAAAGGTATGGACACATTCCACAAACTAGTGAACTATGTCGTTTGTGATAATTTTAACGATCACTTCATATGTTGTTAAAACAAGTTTCATTCGTTGTTTGGTATTAGTGTAGGTCGTAATAACAGCTTAAATATCCGTTTAAAATTTAAAAATCTAATATAATATTTTAAACAACCAATGCATGACATGCTTAATTTATCAAATTGTTGGACAAAATTCAATTTGAACAATGCAAAAATTATCTCAGTAATCCTCAAACTACAAAATTCATGTTTTTATATTTACATGATTGAGTTAATACGCGGTTAGTATATAAAATTACTCTAATATCTTGAATTGAAAAATTAAAAAAAAAAATGGTCTTTCAACAGTTTATATGTCTGGCATACAAATATATACTTAAACAATTCAGATATTTTCTATATTTATTGGATAAATAATGTCTAAAATGAGTTATTTTTCTAAAGAAAATTATAGATAAATAAAGCAAAAAAAAATTTAATCTTTTTGATATTTTGATTGTTGAGCTAAATTTTGATTATCCATCTAGACAAATGTATTATTATGCTGGCTGATTCTTTTAACACCAGCTACTCAATTTCTTTTAAAATAATAATTGTTTAGCTGATTTTTTTTTTTGATTTTGTTAGTTACATATACAGAATGTACAGTAAGTAAGGAAACAGATCAATTGTTAAAAACAATGAAAACAATATTAACCTATTTCCTTGCTTACTGAACATTCTATGTATCATCATTTATCAATTATAATATTTTGTTTTTTTTAATTGATTCTTAATGTTGTATAAGGGTGTCAACTTTATTTTTAACATAGATATATACTTAACTAGCTTACACAATAGAAACTGATATAATGAAGACAAAGATTGGCCGATAACGATTTTTGGATAACGANAAAGATTGGCCGATAACGATTTTTGGACTAACACATTGGAAGTTATTAGCATTTCAAAATATAGTCTGGAGGTGAAGCATTTTTATAATAATAATATATTTTTATAATTAACTATTTCTCGGCCGCACTCCTCCTCCCACAAAGGTATAAAAATGTAAATATCTACCAAAGCACTAGTCCAAAAATTGTTATCGACTAGTCATTTTCTTAATTAGACCATTTCTCTATTTTATAAGCTAGTTAAATATGCATGTTACCATTAAATAAAATAAAGTTGAATTCCCTATAAAACATATATGATAGACCTAAAAATTAATTTATGACAAATAAGTGAAAATGCACATATATCTATCAAAATCAAAAAAATAAATAAATAAATATTTCCAGAGAAATTATGTGGCTAGCTTTAATATTATTACTTATTATAGCAATAACAATAACTTCACTAATTTCTTAAGATGGCTATTAACATATTTAGGAGCTAAATTATTAAAGTTCTATTAGGTTTATTTATTATGATATTGTTTTCTACTGTTTGCATCCACTATATTTTTGAAGTTCAATTTTAATTTTCAAGTTTTTTAATAATAGAATCCCCTTACTACAACATTTGATAAATATCGTTACTGTCGCTGAACGCTTTCCATAGATTAATACTAAAATAACTACAACAATCTCCTACGTGAGTAATAGTCGTTATAAAATAGTTAAAACGAAGAAATGAATTCTGCTAAAAAATTTATTATAGTATAATTTTATTATTATATTATAATATAAACTGGTTACATTAATATACATATTCTACCTATTATAACATTGACAAAACGGTTTATTTCGTATTATGAAAATCGTTTTGTTAAATAAATCTACTTTCTCCATGCATTCCATGCATCATCATTATCATCACACTATGTGTAAAAACGAGTATAAATGTAATTGAATCTACATTACAGGTAATGTCATGTTATGAAATGATAAGTAAGTACCTAATATAATTTGACAAAAAAAAGAACAATTTGGACAAACTAACCAAAAACTGTTTCGGTATTTACTTTCAATAATAAACTACGATTATTTAAGATTTAATATTCCAAGCATATTATCATCCACTTATTATTATTGTAGTATATGGATTAGCTGTTTGTAAGTTATGCAAATAACGTCAATAATGTAATTGAGCGGAACGCCTACACAGGTACAACAACTAGTCACTTAAAATAATTGGGAGACGTGTAAATAAGAATTCGTATTAGAGTAATACCAAGTAAATACAGAATAGAACAGATCTAACTGACAACTCATATAATTTATGATCTACATCAAATTTTATACTTTTTTTTTTTTTTTTTAATCAATTTTTACAATACAGAATATATTGTATATACAATATAGCCATTTATAGATAAGTTTTAAAGAAAAATGTTGATACCAAAAACTCTTATTTTAATACAGTAGTTTATACAACATTTTGAAATTTGTTAAATTTTGATTATTTTTTACAATTATAAGTACGCGATTTCTTTTCTATGGATTATAATAACGTTTAACGCACTTTATACTGAAATCATTATCTCTAATCTTTATATCGAAAGTTAGAAACATTATCGTATGTCAACTACAGGTGTTCATGGTTAACCAAGTTAAAAGTGATAACAATTATTAATTTGCGTGATTTTATCATTGTAATCATATTATTATAGAATATTCCTTGTTTGGAACTTGGATAATAAAATGCACTAATTCACTATGATTCACGTTTAAATTTATGATATATGATCTTATTTAATTAAAAACTCAACATGTTTTAGACAATGTTTCTATAATTTGTTTTAATAATCTTAACTATACTACTACTTGTTTTTGCATGTCAACTACAAATGCTTATTCAAATATTAATAATTTTCATGGAAAAGACATCGCGTACTGTTATTATTAAATAACATACTAAGTGTTTACTTCTGTAGTTTACATAATATGGACTAATATTTGATACCATAGGAAAATTGTAAAAAAAAAAATCAAAATTTAAGAAATTTAAAAATGCTGTATAAACGTAACTACTGAATTAAATTAAGAGTTTTTGATATAAAATTTTTCTTTAAAACTTATCTATAAAATGGCTATCTTCAAATCTTAAAAAAATTAATTTTTAAAATATTTTATAGATCATAAATTATATGAATTGTCAGTTAGACCTGTTCCACTCTGTATACATATTCCAAGTATAACTAATTTTACGCAACAAAAAATTATATAAAAGCTTATGAGTAAATACGAAAAATTCTGCATGAACATTGGTGCGAACAGCGCCCGTACTATGATTAATGGTACCTTAGACTTAATTAAATACAACTAAATGGACTTTTTGTTGATAACCTCGCGGGAACATAAAGCGTCAAATAATGCTCGGGTCATCCTGAGCGTACGTCTTATTCGCCCGATCTGAGTCGCCTAAGTTTGGCTCTAAGCACAAAACAAGTGGATAGCGATGTAAGTAACAACAGGATTGGCTCTAACTTTTGTAGAAAACTCTAATTTTATTAGATTTCTGTTAAGCTTCGCAAAATAAATTCTCGTTTAAGATCTTTGACATATGTTTCCATTGATGTACTCCAGGACCGACCTTAGTAATTAAGTTCTTGAACATTAGTAGAGTACCAAATAGTAATTTGAGTTATAAAAAGAGTATAGATAAAATCTAATTAAATTAACAAGAAAATTAAAGTTTTCTACAATAATCGGACTAATGCTATTCGATTAAAATAAATTCCTTAATGATTATCATGCTTAAAAATCAAAGACTACTGTTAATAAGTTCGTCGAACTTAATAACATTTTAATGTATGAGTAAGTCAATAATTACCAGCTATAATTCGATAAATAATTAAAACCTAAAAATCACTTCTATTTAGATTATATCTTACTATTGCAATGCAAAATTAAATACTACATTTTCTTAAGTATTTAATTTTTATGACATTTTCCTTAAACGTTTTTATCGGTTTTAAATTGATATAATTTTTTATTCCAAAAAAATGTAAGTGATTGACGAAAAATAGTTTTTTATTAATGGTATCGGTTTCAAGAAATCAAATCCTATTACATAAAATAGTTACATTTTTGTGAATAAGTAATTAACTTATATTCTTCCGGTAAGGTTTACCCACGCGTAAACAAACTCATTTGAACGTGAAAAGATATTTTTTCAATAACGGTAAGATAATTTATAATTTTTTTGTCATAATAAATATCGCAATGGTTTACTGAAACGATGATTTATTTTTCGATTTTAATTAATTCGCCTGTAACAGTGGAACCTGTTTAAAATATAATCTTGACAAAGCGTTAACTTGTACTAAGCAAAAAATATTTGCTTTCCCATCAAATATATTGTACTCTGAATATTATTTAATAAAATTCAACTTGTTCTTGACGAAGATTGTTTTCTGTTCCGTGTCATTCTGAAATGAACTTTTTTTACCGTACAATAAATTATCATTTCAAAGGTCTAGGATTAAAGAAAATTACTAACCAATTTCTTAATTATCAAAAGTGCAAAATTAAATTTCCATTTTCCATTTATACTAAAGAAAAATTGTACTTCTTCTTAAAAAATATGCCATCATTATATTAATGGTATACCATATTCACATAAAAAAATATTTTATATATTGGTTAATGTAAACTAATATTTGAAAAAATCCCAATTTCGGCTGATACGTTCCAATAATTCGATTTATACTAATAAGTATATAATCTACAAACACAAATTTTTGCTTACAAAAAACAATATATTAACTATATATTATATATAATATACTTAATAGTATACTATAATTAATTTTTACATATACTTCTAGAATTATAAATTAATAACTGTAAATATAATATTATACAAATAAACTATTACAATTACATTGCTTTTTTAACGACGTAAGACCACTTTTAGATCTTTATTTAATGAATATTTAAAAAATCACCAATTTATTTAAAAAAGGGAACTTTTCATTCAGGTCATAATTTACTCATAAGGTACAAATATGAAATTGTTATTTTTAAACAATATCGTACGAAAGCATTTAATTTTTTTTTTTGCTAATACTGGTTTTTATAGAGTAAATTAGCTAATAGATTTATAAACTATTTTTAGTTTTGTTTGATATTTCAAGGTTTGAAAATAAAAAGTACAATGAAAGTACAACTTATAGTAAAACTGTTGTTTATACATCTGTGAAATTTTAAGTTACATCATGTCATTAAAAATAATATAAGACATCATTTTTATAACTTTTTATTGAATATTGTAAGGTATCTTTAATTATGTAATTGCAATGTGGGAACACGTCCGGATGTACACAAGTAGATGCTTTTCACACGAACCACAGGAAGTCGAATAACTGGTCCGGATTGTCAATGTTATTGTTGTATCATTTGTGTCAACATTTTAGAGAAAGTGGTTTTCCAGCAGAATCTAGTCTGCAATACATATGGACTACGTTAAATATTTCAGAGTTTTTTTTCGCACACATGATAATTTCACTGGTAATCGCAATAAAACCGCTTATGATTTATACATTTAATAATCCCCTTATAAATTTATCAACATACAAGAATTGAAAATTTGTATAATATAAACCACAACTCTTAAAAGTATATCTTTTTGACCTAACAATGATATTTTTTTTCCTCATAACAGTTTTGTGCAATATCCTATTACCTGACGATGCTATGAATATTTTCACTCTCCTGCGACGACATTAATGATTAAAATAAAACAACTGAAAGAAGACTAATGCTATGAGTCTACCTGTTATTTATTTTTACCTTTACCTAGAACGTAATTTCTGCCAATTACAATAAGTTACTTGAAGAATGAGTATTGTCAAAAAACAAACTAGATATAAAATTGTGTTAATTATTTATCTAGTTTTGTTAAAATTTTAATATCAATTTAATAAAAATCCTTACAAAACATTTTAATTTTGTCTAACGGAAGGTATTTATTTTGCTATTTTATTTATTATTCATTTAAAAAAAAATTGAAATAAATTAATCAACTAACAATAAAGTAGGTGGTTAACTTATATTTGGATTCCCCTAAAAGTAACCTCTAAAGATAAATGAAAAATTTTTTAAATAATCAAGATAATTTAAATTTACGAAAAAAAATATAATTTTTAAATGTTGCCTTATTAAGTTATAAAGTGCCATCTAGCGGTGAAAGTACTCTAACCATGTACTGTGCTATGATAATACGTATAAGTGAAAACACTAATCTATTGAAATTGTTATTTAAATTTCAATTACTGACACATATCAGTTAAATGATTAGTAATTAAATCAATATGATTAAACTAATATCGTATGTTTATTAGTCATAATTACAATTAATTTAAAACTATTAATATTGTGTAAAAACTTTTAAATAATTTGTTTGTATTTTAGTAATATTATTAACATTTCATATAAATTTTATAATAATTCGCAAGTATGAATTTAGTGTCTTTGAACGAGTCTGAAAAAGTGTATATTATTCATGGAGTTGAGGTAAAATCTAGTTTAACCATAATATTTTTCATAATGTAATATATTTTTATTTTTTATTATTTCTGCTATCAAGAAACATGGATTTTTATTTTTAAATAAAATAAAACAATTGTTTAAAAAGCTTAGGATTAGTATTTACTCTTTTTTTTTTATATATATATATATATATAGGAAAATTTTCGCTGTGATGGTCGTAGTCGGCAAGATTACAGACCTATGGAATTAGAAATGGACATTGTTAGTAATGCTAATGGTTCAGCACGTCTTCGTTTAGCGAATTCTGACATTTTAGTTTGTGTGAAAGTAGAAATTGATAGTCCTCTACCTGAAACTCCAAAAGATGGTAAAATAGAATACTTTGTTGACTGGTAAGTTGGAAAGTAACATTATGTACAATAAATCAAATTTTATTGCAATGATTTTTTAATTATTAACTTTGTTTTAGCTCTGCTAATGCAACTCCTGCATTTGAAGGAAGAGGTGGAGAACAGCTTGCTGCTGAACTTAGTCGCTTTCTTTATTTAGCTCATAGTCCAATTTTAAATTTATCTAAATTATGCATTGTTTCTGGTCAATCTTGTTGGAAATTATTTGTTGATGTTCTTATTCTTGAATGTGGAGGTAAGAATTGTAGTGTGATTTCCACTAATATTATTTCAAATGTAATGATTATTTTTATATGCTTTTTTTAAATCTTTAAATTCATTGTATAACATTAAACTGACATATAATATTTACTTAGTTTAATCTTTATAAATATAATCTAAGTTTATTGATTAAATATTTCTCCTAATTTATTATTTTTCACTATAAAACATAGAAATACAAATTATAAAGGTTAAATTATTTAACCATTCATTATTAATACTTTTAATTGTGGATTAATAAAAATCAAGTACATTGTATTTCTGAACATAAGGTACTTGTAAGTGGTGACAATCACCTACATTATATGATAGTTTATAGTAATTTAATGTGTGGGTAGGTACTGGGAAACTGTATAATAATACAAACCTGTACAATAATATAATTTTAATACACTTTTTTTTGTTGTATATTTAAATAGGTAATAAGACAGAAGTGAGTGACAGCTAAGATTCAGCTTGTTGTACATTTTTATCAAATTTACTGTTATAGTAGTTTTTTAATAACTTGACATTTATTTGGAAACAACTTCTCCTTTTTCCTCCCCTTTATCACAACTACTTGGGGCTGGCCATACCTATTATAAACTTCCACTTGACAGAATCTCCCATGTCATCTACACACATCAGCCTGTTTTTTTTTTCAACATTCATTTCCATAACTGTCCTTACAGCTTCCAAACCCTCCTTATAAGTTAACCAAACTATCTAAGTCTATTTTCTCTTATCTTATCCACAATTGAAGCTACATCTATACTCCCTTTTATATGTTCGTTCCATATCCTATCTTCTTTAATCTTTCCATTTATCCATCTAAGTATTCTCATCTCTGCTCACCCATTCGCATGTCCAACACTTTGAACCATACATCATAATTTATCTCACTTCAGTCTTATAGAACTTACCTTTCAACCTCATTGATATTCTTTTATTACGTAACACACCAGATGCTCCTCTCCACATTACTCTAACGCACTTAATCCTGTGTCTTATATTGTCATCAATACCACCGTTCTTTGCACAACTAATTTAAATACTTAAAAATTTCTACCTCTCCTATCACATCCTCACTTTTTGCTCCAGATCTCATTTCACTTACCTCATGTTCTCCTTTTTCAAACTCGTACTCTATATACTCTGTCTTACTCCTACTTATTCTTAAACCTTTTTGTTCAAGAGCTGATCTCCACACCTCTAGCCTTTGATTGATTTTCTCCCTATTTTCATCCTATTAACACTATATTATCTGTAAGTAATATGCACCACAGTACCTCTCCTTATTTATCATTAGTAATTTCATTCCCTATACTTTTCTATTAATTTTTTTTACACAAACATTTTTCATTTCTTTGGGAACAACTCATATTTTAAACAATAATTTAAGTTTTTATTTATGTTTATAAGTATTTGGTAAATATTTATTAATTGCATATTGTTTTTATGATTTTTAGGAAATTTGTTTGATGCAGTATCATTAGCCGCTAAAGCAGCTTTATGTAATACAAGTTTACCAAATATTACAGGAACTTATGAGGATGGAAAAAATGTAGATTTACAAATATCTGATGATCCATTTGATGCCAAACCTCTTGAAGAGGCTGGAGATTTACCAGTTTTAGTTTCTTTATGCAAAATTGGTAATAACTATGTAGCTGACCCAACTATAGAAGAAGAAATATGTGGAGCTGGATGTGTAGTTGTATCTGTTACTCCTAAAGGAAATATATCTGGTATATTAAAAAAAGGAGCTGGAAGTTTTATGCCAGATACATTAAATGAAATAATTATGGTAATAAAAAATAGTTTTTTTAAGTCACTAATCAGGTTTTTATTTATTAAATTAATTTTTCATTTGTAGTCTGGTTCACATATTGGTATTCTATTAAACAAAGCACTAGAAGAGACTCTAGCTCAAGACAAATTAAATACCATTAATAAAAAACAATTTGGTTTTTTGAAATAATACAATTGCTATTATTAAGTATTAATAAATTATATATTTGTAAATATTAAAAAATATATATTTTTTTCAACTATGATTGGTAATAATATATTGTTAATGTATAAAAACTTGCGAAAACAGGATTATCTGATATTTTTCTATGGAGTAAATATTTTCAATTAGTTTTATTGTTATGTATTATACTAAGTAATAATAAAACCTTGAAAAATATATATTACTTATTCTTATTTGTTACAGTTGAGATATAATGACAAAAAATTGTTTGAAATTGAAAAGTATTTTTGAACCTTTAATATAATAAGAGTTATAAGTATAAAAATGAAGTCGTAAAGAAATTATTAAATTTTAAATCATATTGTTAATGCTCTGTTTACTATTATTTATAACTATAGTAATTTTCGAATGCTTAACATTTTTCAAACCTCCACTTTTAATTATAGCTTAGAACTAATTATTTTGTACTATTTTAAACATTTATTCTTAAAATTACATAAATTGGCATATTTAAGGATTAAAAACAATTGTTAGTTAAATATAACAAGATTATCTAAGTGATTAAATAGATTTTGGAAATTTGATTACTTTATTATTATATACATTGGTGTAACTAGGGGACTAGGCAGATCTTAGTCTCCAATTATAAGAATAAGCTCTCCTCAAAAAATTTAGTTGATTATATGTACAGGTAATTCATTAACTATGATCATCCCTTATGCTTTAAATCAGTATCAACTTTCAATTTTCAAATAGTAACAATATTTTTATTATATGTCAGATTAGATTTAGTTTTAAAAAAATCTTTCGTAAACAATTTTTTTTTATTTTATTCAATTATCAGTGAGCTATGATTTATTAAAGTTAAGAGGACGTGAGTATTACTCACGTTGATTTATAAAAGTCACTTAGTTGTTTAGAGTCGTTTAGAATTTATTAAAATTGATTTTTTTTTTATTTTAAACAAAATTAATAAAGAAAAAATGGTTGCTATTTGAAAAACTAAAGTAGATATTGATTTGAGGGTTAAGGATGAAGATGGAATCTTTATTTTTCTTATTGAATAGTTCAACAAATACTTATAATAAATAAAATAATAACATATATGATAACACTAATATTTTTAAAGAAAATTCGTTTGGCATAGTTAGTCAATCACCCTGTGTTGTATAAAAATATTTTAAGGTGGGGTAAAAATTAATTAAGTAGTCCCAAAAATTTAATTCTAGTTGCATCTATGCTAATCAAAACTTATATTAATATTACATAAGTTACATGTAGCAGAATATACTTTCTTAGTCTATCATAAGCAGTCATTAAAAAAAAAAAAATCTAAAATGAACTTCAAATTTTTTTAATAACAACACTTCATTTTAAAACATTAAACACAAATTCATAAACGCCTATTAAGTCATAGTATGAGTAAGATCATGTTGCTACCACATTACTACTTTCGAATACAATGACCTCAGAATGACTACAACGATGTATATCGCACAGGTCTCTATAAGAGTAATTATGTTTTTGGACAAACATTAGACATAATTTAACTTGTAACTCATATTATGTCTTAAGAACAAGACATTAAATCGTATAACTTATTATAACAATAAAATTAATAAAAAAAAATTGCTCTCAAAGAAGATAAATATGTAATCATTTTCAAGTGAAGTTCTTGGTCTAAGACAATTACATTTCATTGAAAATTATAAATGAGGCAATGTATAATTTCAGTTGTATAAATTAATAAATGATCAATTAAAGAAATAAAAAGCCGTACTATAAATGTTATAAATATTTTACAAACAGGACCAAAACTATAATTTCTACATTCGATAATTTTTTAATTAAGTTTGTATTTTTGTAAATTAGAATAATAAACTTTTTCAATAGGAGAAATAAAAATGATTGAAACTTGTAGCCAGTCAACTGTTAAGATACGCCAAAATTATCCAGTAGACGTAATAATTATATCATAAATATATAGTATAAAAGATCAATTAAAAGATTATTATTTTATTGGAATAGTTATAATATATTACAGATTTTAAGAAAAATGAAAAGTTTCTCTGAACAGAAAATTAAATAATAACAAACAGAGATTTACGTATAATTTTAATTGTTAAAAGGTGATTGTTAACAAAGCAACCTTCATTGTGACTCCATTTAAATTTGCTAACTCGTTTTAAATATTTGATAGCTTTTATGATCTACGGATCATAATTAAATTAGCCACTACTATACATCATTAACAAGTCTATCATTTATGTTAAATGAAATAAGTTACATCAGAAAGAAAAAAAGCATTCAAATATATAAACATAAACATATTTATATTAATTTGTAATTTTTAAATGTACTACACCATTTTAAATTTATAAAAAGCAGTGCATTATAATAGATTAGACTATTTATAAAATATTCTTTCACTTTAGATGATAAATAAATAGAATTTCTATACCTCATGAATCACATTGCATAACTAATTAAAAGAAATGCTATGATCTCTAAATAGAGAAAAAACAAACGAGAGTGATAGAAGAAAGCGAAATCTTCAATAGAAACGAAACAACCGTGTGTATAACCCATCGGTTTGTTTCAGCATTCACTAACACTATACTAGATAGATACCTATATACAGCAAACATCTGTGTAATTTTTTTTGCAAATTAAATGTTCTAGCTTAAGAAGTCAAACAAAAGAAAAAACCGAGGCTAATATGATTTGATACACTTTTTATACTAATCAGTTCATCATACACATTAACTGGGCCAATTTAATAATTTTTTTAATTGATTGAACTTTACCATAAGAAAAATCTTTTTTTTTTTAATTATTAAGTATAAAAACTTATAATTTTTTCAGTTTATTATAATAAAACGATTGTTTCAATGTACTAATTTAAGTACACATATTGGCAACAGATCTAAATTAATAACAATATCAGATAAACTATTAATTTTATACATTACAATAAATTACTTACATAAATATTGTTCTATAAATTATTAAAACACTTTTTCTTTAGAAAACTCCTGAATTTTTATCAAGTAAGTCAACCATTTGACTGAATGAACTTACACTATCTTGATAAGGGCATCTTATTTACAGAAAATATTAAAATGAATACTTTATAAAAAAAATTTGAATATCTGAGGTGCTTAAGATTTAAAAGATTATGCGACTATTATTCTCTTCATCAATTTTGATGATGTCTTTTCGCCAAAATCTAGTGCTACTTCTTGTGGTTCTACTTTTATTTCCAACGATTTTTTACCTTCTTCGCCAACCTCCACTGATGAACTCTCATTAGAAATACCTGTATGTGCACCAACTTTGTCTTCGAACAGATGCTGAGGCGAAATTCCATCATGAATTACTGTGTTCGGATACACCTCATTATTTTGGTGTTGTTGTTCTTGATATAATTGTTCTTTTTCATGCAATTGAACATTTTTATTTCTTTGTTGTAGATGATACAACTGTTGTTGATGATGATGTGAATCCTGTTGTTGTGGCGGTTCGTGTGATCTATGGAATAACTGTGCATTGGAATACTTGGACGGAGGTAACGATTGAAAACCTGAGTAGCTAGTTACCATAAGTGGTATTCCTCGAGAATTTGGAACAAATCCTCCGGTAAGTTGAGGTGGCAACTGTGACTGAGTATGGAATGTGGATTGTTGAAATTGAGGGTAGCTAGGAAAGGCTGTTGGAAGTGGAGGTACAGGCCCTGGTGTCGGTACCAGCAGTAATGATTGATAAGGGATATCTGGATGTCCAGACGAAAGTAATAACATTATTGGTTGGTTTAAAGAAGAAGTCGGTGAGTCTACATGTTGGTATCCATTTGGAACAAAAGGATACGATTGATGAGCAGCAATAATAGAAGAACCAATGTTTGGGAGTTTATTTTGCTTGATCAATCTTATCGAATGTGGTTGCTGTTGCTGATGAGTGACATGTTTAGTAAACCCTTCGTTCAACTGTTGTGGTTTAGCACTGACTAATTCAAAATCGGGCAAAATTTGCTTATTTTTATTATTTTCTGACTGGTGATGAGCAAAAATTTCTCCAGAGTATCCAAGTTCAGAATGGATGTTAAAGGATGAATGAGGAGTATTAACATACTGTGAAAAAGTTGGCACGGAAAATGTAGGATGATTATTTGGTTGATTGACAGCATGATTAGCAGGATGGTTGGCAGGAAATACAAATCTGTAAGGGAAGCTAGGTTGTTGATTATGTGATGCAAACAAAGAAGTCGTACGAGTTTCCAATCGTTGAGGTGAATATGAGTCTCGTCTATTTTCAACGGGCCTATATTCTACAGTAGATTGAACATCACACGTAGCAAATGCGGCAGAAGCCCATATAAATACCTAAATAATAATAATACAATGATAATAAGTTAAGTACATAATATGTACTTTAAAAATAAATTATCTTTACTTAATATTATTAAGTAAAGATAATTTATTTTTTATAGTTTTAGCATAGTATACAACTAGAGACTTGTAAATATGGGTAGCTCAAATACAGTCAATAATAATAAATAAGACATTAATTAATTTAAGTCTGTTTAAAAGAGTATTTAGAGTACATTATAATTTATGACTTTATAACTAATTTCTCTAGTTTTATAAATCTATAGCTAAATTTTACATATCAACTCAAGTTTTGAAAGTAATTTACTTAATTTAATTTTAATGAATATTTGTATTAATTATTTCACACCTTATAATGTACCAAGTATTTTTTTTAAGTGTATATGTGTTTGTGTGATAAACAATAAATTAAGTTGAACATTTATTTTTGCGTTAATCAGAAAATATATATTATCAAAAATTATTTTGATATGTAGAAAGAACGTCAATCAAATTTTATTTTTTATTAAAAGTTAACTGCTCGATGTGTGAGTTTCCGTATCACAAAGCATACAAATCAATATAATAAATCATATGGCAATTTTAAATTTATTGTGTAATATTTGTTTCAAAATTCACCAATAATTAATTTTAAAATTAAAACCTATCTGTATATAGTACATTACAATAAAAAACAAATATTAATCTGAATTTCAGTGAAATCTATAATTTTATAATTAAAGTTTTATGACGCCACACGAATTATACATCGATAAAATATTATATTAATAAATAATTCAATTTTTATATGATTTTCAAATGTCAACTAAAAAATTGTTGTAATAGTAATAGGCGTATTCTAGAGCTAAAATATTTAAATTAAAGCTCTAATTAAAATCATTAAACAATTTGTTTTGTATCTAACAAAGTCGTTTGAGAGACTTCTTCTTTTTCCTCGCCTTAATCTCAACTACTTGGGGTTGGTCTAATACAATGTCGTTCGAGAGTTTAAATATCAAAATATTTGTTTTTAAAACTTGAAGCGATAACCAAAAATATTAGTTATAACCGATTAATGTTCAATAAGTCTATCAGTGTAATAAAGTTGAAAATGAAAAAGTAAGTAAGGTCGAACACATTAATTTGATCTGTAATATTTATATAACAGGTAATATTATTAACATATAAGTTAAATGATATTATATTACATATAACTATTTTAAGTTTTACTTACTGAAAATGAAGATAACATATCGTCGCTTAGAGTTTTCCACGAATACTCAATGCGTGCTGAGCAGGAAATGTGATAAAATGACTACAGGTGTCAATGAATAGATAATTTTTATTATGAGTCCCATTAAAAATAAATAGTGGGAGGATTGTACGTCTAATTTTACAAGTCTTCGGTGATTTAAATCGCTTTCATTGAAGTATAGGAAAATACATATTCCCCACTGCAGTAGTTTTTTTTGTAAAATGAAAACACATGCCTCTAAGTACATTAGTAAGAAAAATTTACGGATCGCTGAGTCATGATTAATGTCATCGCCATTTCTTTACTGAACCGACAAAATCCACCATTTAAGACCAAGTACTACATAAATCACTATGTAATTTGATTTTTATAATTTTATAATATTGACAAAAAAGAAAAGGCTATCATAAAATTAAAAATCAGTATCTAGCATTGACCATAATGCCAAAATACCTTAATCTGGTCGCGTAGTAAGTCCATTATTTTAAGATTTAAAGCTAAAAGAAAAGCTTTGCCATTTAATTATTAATTTAAAAAATAAAAATACTTTTAAACTAAAAGAAACTGCATTTCAATTTTAATAAAATATCTTTCAGGAAATATTCTTCCCTTGAAAATGTGTAAAAGTGAACTTGCCTGTTTGTTGCACATTAATTTTAATACTTCGTAGTATTTAAATTAGCGTCAAAATAAAAATTCATTTCTGAGGATTTCTTTGCAGAAAAAATTTTAGGCCGTACTTAAATAATAAATTTAGCCAAAAGTTGATTAATATATACAATTATAATATTAAAAAAAAATTGTAGTACAGTAGAGACTTGGCATAGTTGGGACAATTAAAGATGATATCTGACAGTGATTCAAATCTTTACCATAACAAAAAAACTTCGATATAAATCTGTAGATAAATTTAAGAAATTGGCGGATTATTCGAAAAGCAAAATGAACTTATGTTTTCTTATTTATATTCCTATTCCAAGTTTAATAATTTAGTAGCATAATAAATAAATAAATACTCATTAATTTACAGATTTAATTATAACAATTAATCCTAGTACGAAATTGATATTCAATAATTTATTATTGTAAATATAACAGAGAAATTATAAAAAATTATATAGCAGTTGCATTTTTCGTTTTGGTATAATTTGGTTTAAACGGATCTACTAGAAATTTGCATCCGTAACAAATATACTTTTTATAAACTTAACATTTTTGCGCCGATTTCAAATCCTCAACTAGATTTGTTCTATTGTCTCTAATTTTTGAGATTATTACTAATTAGGAAAAAATGAATATTTACATATAAAAAATGATCAAAAAAAATCTAGTCTAAAATGAAATTCAACAACACATCAGCAGACAAAATCATAGGGAAAATAAGCCCGGCATATTTCTGAATATTAGTTTATTATAGAAATTAATTATAGGATAAAACTATACAGAATATAGTTTTGAATATTTCAATTGTAGCATTCATTAAACTCCAAGAGTTATGTAAAATTGATTACTATGACTTTTAATAAAATTATTTATTTCAAATTGATAAAAAAAAGTTATGACAAACTTAAGTAAAAGTAGTAACTTAAAACACGGTGATTTTTATACAAAAACAATATTTTATGTCTAAATACGAGGACTATTTTCTACAAGAGAAAAAATATGGGGAAAATTTTTATTTTTGTCACTTATAGTATGTAACATAATATTCAATTTAATATATGTTTAAAGCTAGGAGAATTTCCGGAACATTTTCAAAAGTTAAGTTAAAAAAGTTTGTATGTTTCAAATTTTGAACCTTCTTTGTAGAAATGGGGAAATCGTAGAAAAGGGAAATGGTCCNTGTCACTTATAGTATGTAACATAATATTCAATTTAATATATGTTTAAAGCTAGGAGAATTTCCGGAACATTTTCAAAAGTTAAATTAAAAAAGTTTGTATGTTTCAAATTTTGAACCTTCTTTATAGAAATGGGGAAATCGTAGAAAAGGGAAATGGATTTAAAAAAAAATTATGTCGGATAAAAGGGATTTATTTAATATATCCACAAAAAATACATATTGAGCCATACATTTTTCAAAAAGTTACAGATATTTGAAGTTGTAAAAATAAAATATGACATCAAAAATTTTAACACAAAAATAACATGTTTTTTAACTACTGCAGCTATAGGAGATAAGTCGTCATGACGATTTTTTTTCTCAACTTATAGTGAGTATCATAAAGTTTAATTTAACATATGTTTAGAGAACGACGTATTTCTGAAACATTTTCAAAAATTAAGTTGAAAATGATAAATTTTTGAACAAAACTTGCTATTTGAATCCTCCGTGTGAGCAGGTAAAAGGTCAGATTCTTAAAAAAAATTATAATTAAAAGGAAATTCCTAAAATATTTATACTAAAAAAAATTGTTTTGATTTGTTCATTTTTCGAAAAGTTATGACAGTTTTAAGAAAAAAAGTTTAAAAAATATCAAAATTTATCGATTTTAAAAACCGTAATTTTTTTGGGCATTTTCACTATTTACGGGTAACAATGGACAATTTTTAATTTTTGTGGGTGATGTCCTTAAATAGATAGGATTTGTGGTATATTGATGTATCTTTGAGAAAAATCGATCCAGTGAGCCCAAGTTTAATTCAAATAAATAAGATGACTTATGTTCATTTCTAATTGATTAAATTAATAAGATTTAAAATTAATCATTTCTTTTGAGTATATAGTTGAAGTAGGGACAATGAATGATTAAGTAATTACTAAAAAAAATAAATAAATTTTACTATGTTTTACTAATACTTATATTATTCTCATATAACTTCGTATTTATATCCTGAGATATTATTAAAAAAACAGATAGTAACTCTCTCCCCCCTACATGCCATATTTTTTCTTTTTCTTGAGTAACTACAATAACCTTTTCTCTAAAATTAAAAATACTTTTAATAGATCTTAAATTTTTAATTAAAAACTTATTAGACTCAATATTATACACACAAGGTTCAGCCATGTATTCCTTATAGTAAAAGAGTATTCTCCCATCTGTACCACATACATAGTACGAATAACAGTAGATCATATTACAAAAGGTTGTAACAATATCTAGAAGATCGTTTAAAAAATAATATCCCAACACTTACTGCAGAATTACTCGACCCAAAACTCCAATCAATAGTGATGCTTTTCAACTTTATAATATTTATTCATTTAATTAATAAAATATAATTGTATTTTAATTGAGATTGTATAATGTAATACTTTTGTATTTGTAAATTTATTACTTTAAAATATTCGTCCGTCATTGGATTTTGTTGTTGAGGCCTTATTACTAATAAAAGTTATTACATAAAACTGTCATTTCTAATATGTCTATTAAGTTTTTGCATTCTATAATACTAAATTTCTTTTTTCAATTATCGATATCGTAATATTCTACTTGATATAATTTGATTTACACAGACATAATACACCTTTATTGTATGTCAGCCCAGTAAAATAGAGATTTTGACAAAAGATACATACAAATTATCTGTGTAAGCAATGGCGATAGCTCAAAAATACATATGAAGGGGCTCTAAAAAATTGTTTGTATTTGAAATACATAAAATTTATATTGACGGACTGATTTCAGTTTCTCTTATAAATCCGACAACTTATGTTTTTTATACTACTAAATAGTAAAAATTATACTTCCTTAGCTTCGTACTATAATCAAAAAAAAAAACACAAGTTTGTTAATATTGAAAAAATAATTTTAACATTAAATTATTCAAAATTTAAGTAAAGGAGAAAGGGCGTGGAGTTTGTTAAAGATATATATTGTAATACTGTTGTAAATATGGAGAAAAAAAATTTAATTATATTAATTTATTTTTTTATGATATAATACTAATTTTTCATGTCGCGAACAATAAACATAGATACGCGTCTAGGCGATCATCGTATTAACCTATTGTTATTCTATTAGTGCTTGCCGATGACGGTAACATTACACAAATAAATTATAATTTATGTTCTAACACTCTTACTTATAGATAGCGTAATTTTTACTTCATTTATATAATTTTGACACATTTTATAATTTATTGTTTCGAAACAAGAAGTGTTTAAAAATGTGTTTTTAAAGACCGGAACAAATATAAAAAGAAAAAATACTGACCAGGCAAATTAGTATCGAATGATCTTTTTGTGCAAGAAACTACCTATGTCAATAACCAAAATTAGTTTAAGTAAAAGGAGATAAACTGGTTTTGGCATTATTTGTAGGCGGCTACTTTCTACTTGCAAGGTCACAGATGTTAGCCGAATACAAAATATTGTTTTTTTTTGAAAACGTCTCACATTTAATTTATGTCTATTGTTGTATCTTACAACATTTACCGGTAATATTAATTAAAAATATATAGTATATATTTATAATATGTGGACCATATTTTCGAAACTCAATTATTAGTTGCAGTAAGTTCTAGATTTGTTCAGTCATATTAAAGAGGAGAGTAAATCGGGATAAGATGACGAATTTAGTATTTCTCAAAATCAATCACATATGGCAGCATATCCTATCTGACATAAAAGGCTCTTACGATGCACTTTATTATTCACTAGTACTTACATATGTGCGCGGACATTAATTTTAGTTGTGGTTAGAATTCATAATAAGCATGTTTCGATGTTATTATTGAACATCAAAACTTTAGATATTAATATGCTAATGAAAAATGTTAAAATTTTTTTTTTTAATATTACCTAATACCTATTAACTCGAAAGCTATAGCATTTAACATAGAACTTGAATTATAAATTTTTGTACTTTGTTAAAATTTAATTTTGAATTAGTTATTTTGTATTTAAATATCCGTTAATTAAATCATACTGATACGACGCTATTTGGGTATAAGCTCCAGATGCCCCCATCAACAGGAACCCAAGAGACCCAAGACAGGATAGCTGGCTATTATTGTCCACAAAATAAGGTAAATACAAAATTTTTCATAAACGAATTATACATTTTATTATGTATTTTAAGAAAAATACTGAAACATACTATATTTCCAAAATTTAATGTAAATGGTTTTTTTACAGTTCTCTTGATATATTTACTTAGTGGTTAAAATTTCTTTATAAAATTGTTTGAATAATATTAAGCCTTTAAAAAAAAATTTAAAAAGTTGATACTCATTTGAATTATAAGGGATATTTCTAAAAAGTAATTATTAGCTAATATATCAAGAAATATATGTAGCTAAGACAAAGTACATTTTTTCTCAATATTAAATTTATTTTGATAGTAATCAATAGGTTTATGATAAACTAATGACTTAAATAACGACCATTCTAATATNTGTCTATAACACTTGTATTTTTAAAGATATTACGTGAGAAATAGTTAGCCGATCACTTTGAATATATACAGAGTGATTTTTTTATCATAACCCACTCAATTACTTACAGAATAAATATAATTTAAACATTTTTTTTTTTTTTTGGTTATCTTTAGTTACACATTATTCTTAAATTATTAACTATGTAATACTTTTTAAGTTCATCCCTTATGCCTTGTAAGGGTGTTAACTTTGTTTTTTTAAACGGGAACACATATTTTTAATTTAATATAATGTTTGAGTTTTTAATTTAATAGTAAATGGCATTTGAAATTTAATATAACTTAATTCGTTTATTTTTATTTATTTTTTATTCGTTTTTTGGTTTTTTATGACATAAATATTCGCAGGTATACAACATTGTTATTATCAATGGTAGTAAGGCACATTATTGTGAGTTTATAAATACACTAACTGATAATATAAAAAGTTTATCTATTAATAGTCATAATTGATAATAAACAATCCGTGACTGTGACAGCAATGTCATAAAAAACCAATTAGCTACCTGTATTTGTAATCCCTTGTGTATTATCCTTGTATACTAACTCAAAAATTTGAAACTTTAAATGTTATCTAATAAACAAATTAAGTTGTATTAAAAATTCAAATGCCATTTACTATTAAATTAAAAACTCAAACATTATATTAAATTCAAAATATGTGTTCCCGTTTAAAAAAACAAAGTTAACACCCTTACAAAGCATAAGGGATGAACTTAAAAAGTATTACATAGTTAATAATTCAAGAATAATGTGTAACTAAAGATAACAAAAAAAAAAAATGTTTAAATTATATTTATTCTGTAAGTAATTGAGTGGGTTATGATAAAAAAATCACTCTGTATATATTCAAAGTGATCGGCTAACTATTTCTCACGTAATATCTTTAAAAATACAAGTGTTATAGACAATTTTTTTTTTATCATTATGGATCTTCGATGAAGTGTTTCATAAGAAAATTTAAATTTCTACCACCATATTTCATGCTTAATACTCGTATTAATTTCATATTTTCAAATGGGAACCCTATTATTTTTACACCATTAGATTTAGTTTAATAATAAAAAAAATATTTTATTTTATTTAATATTAAGTGCTCCACGGCTCTTTAAAGTTTAGGGTTTATTAAGAAAAAATTATAACAGACTCGAACGTTATAGGCCGTAAATTGATAAGCGCTAACAGTTTTTAAATTAACATACCAAAATTACCTTAGTTATTCTGAATACGTGCGTTGATACAGTAAACCAGTAGCTCTTATCGCTACATAAAATAATAATGTGACAGTGTTGGAAAAACTACTGAATTTTTCCATCAAATTTCGTAAATTTTAAAGTAGCGTATATTTTTTAAAATTCACATTTTTTATTTTTATTACAAACAAAAATATATACAAAAATATGGAGTTGCCATTTGAAAATCTGAAGTCGATACAAGTTCTAAGAATAAGGAATGATGATAGAAATTGAATTTTTATAGTGAAACAGCTTATCAAAGATCCATAATGATTTTAAAAAAAATTGTTTATAACACTTGTATTTTTAAAGGTATTACGTGAGACATAGTTAGCCGATCACTCTATATATATATACTAAGTGTCCCACCCGTTATTTACTAATATGACTATATAAACTAATGTTAAAATTAGTAAAACACGGTCGCACACCCAATATTATATATAAATATATTATTTTTGTTTTAAGTATTAATATTTGTGTTATGCATAAATATATTACAAATTTATAAAGGTTGCCAACTTGCCCCGATTCTTTATATTATTTATTTATCTATTCAAAATTGTATTAAACGAGGAAAAATTTTCCTTAAAATTTATATAATACTTTATTTGTTTATTCAATTGTATAATTTATTTTCGGAGCTATGCAATCGTTGATATCTAAACTCGAGTACGTAACTTAAGTTTAAGTTTCTTTACACTTATTAAGCTTAAATTGTTACACATATGCTAAAGCTTAAAGTATTTTTTGAAGTATGTGATTTATATTTATATTTTTATAATTATGCAAAATTAATTAGTTTTCTCACTAATTAATTATATATTACATTTTTTTTGTTGTAATTCAAAATTATTTAATTAATTATTATTGTAGCTCTTTTAATGAACTAACACACCAGTACAATTGATTACCCGTCAGAACTTTATACTCAGTTCATTATTAAACCAGATAATGAGAGTTAAAATCATATAACCCAATATGAGTTGTTTTCACTAACGAAATGCTCGCCCACAAACGTGAGAAGGTTTTTGTTATTCACTAAATATAAATATAAAGGTCACCTAAAGATAGACCAATAATATTAGGTCACATCTTCTATTAAATAGCTCTGTCACGTTAATGTAATTAATAATATTACAAAACCCTATCATAATAAACGTTTTTAAACATATGAAATGTTCCATATAACGACTATATTATTCTATTTTTATGGTAACTATTTAGCCAACACACCAATAAGGTACATGCAGAATAGATTAAATTTCTTTTTTTTTGCCATAGTTTAAGTTACAGTTTTACTCAACTTGACTGTCATTTGACTACAATAAAAGTATGACGAGATATTTACAGTTAGTATTTAGAAAGTTACATATTTTTCTTATACTTTTTCATAAGAAAATAATATACAAACAAATATACTAATATAATTTATAATTCTAGTATATATAATTATCATAATTTAGAATAACTTATATTGTAATAATGTTAAAAATGAATAATAATTATAACAATATATGATTACAATTATGATTCGAGCTTTAAAATATCATGATAATAATTTAATAAACGCTCGAAGAAATATAAATATACAATTTTTTATATATACAAACATTATTTTAGTATAACAACACAATATAATGGATTAAATATGAGGGTTAACTTTACTAATCAATTTCAGATGAAGTACCAGAGCTTTTTCAAAGAAAAACAACTATACGACAGTGTTATTTGATCTGAAATATTGGTATTAAAATTGAAATAATTTCTCTAATACTGCGTTTATAGTTCACAAAGCCTTAAACGCTGATTAGGTAATGAGTTTATAAAGGAAGGAACATAGTTGTAAAATATAGGTTTGGTATGAATATTTTGAATTAATAAGAGCCACTATAAGGTGAAGAGCCACTATAAGGTGAAGAGCTACTGTATGGTGATGAACTTAAGTATGAGGGGTACGATGAAGATGGCTTAAAGGAGTCGGATGGATATGAATTGCTATATGAGGATTTGTATGGATAAGAGGGCTTATATGAAGAAGAAGATTCATAAGGACTGGAACTACTGTATGGTGAAGAGCTTGGGCTATTATAAGATGAATATCCTGAGCTGCTATAAGGCGAAGATCCAGAAATTTTGTAAGGTGAAGATGAATGACTGCTGTATGAAGATTTATATGGAGAAGAACTATAAGGTGATGAGCTGCTATATGGTGTAGAATCATATGGTGAGGTACTATATAGTGAAGACGATGGACTACTGTATGGTGATGAGTTACTATATAGCGAAGATGATGGGTTGCTGTATATCGGTTTATATGGAGAAGAGCTATAAGGTGATGAACTACTGTATGGAGATTTATATGGAGTAGAGTCGTATGGTGATGAACTGCTATATGGTGAAGATGAGCTACTGTATGGAGGTTTATATGACGAAGAAGACGCACTCTGATAAGGTAACTTATAAGGGTATGGTGATGGTGTAATGTATGCTGATGATGGTAAAGGTTTAAATGGTGGCGTTTCGTAGGAAGTAGAGCTGGAAGAATCGTACGCTGGTTTGTAGTAACTGTTAAGGTGCTTATTCGAATATTTATTTGCTGAAAGGTCTCCTCCAGCTAAGTATGCAGAATTACTGGGTGACGAAGAGAGTTGAGATGAGTAGTAGTTACTAGATGTAGATGGGTATTCGGATGTATCCTTAGATGGATACCTACTGGAACCTTTGTAACTGCTTGCAACATAACTGCTGAGTCCGGGAGATGAAGGATATGATGGTCTAGTATAAGATTGAGAAGAAATTCCACCGTAAGTTGGTTTATCGTATGCTGAATCTTCAGTATTTGATGAAGTTTGCTGACTGAAAGTTACTGGACCCGCTTTGTAAGGAGATGGTGTTGCTACTTCAATGTTTGATGATACTGGTTGTGCTGGATATGCACCATAACTGAACGCAGCCGATGGGTATGAAGAGTATCCTGCTGATGGGTAGCTTCCGTACGACTTGTATCCTTGTTGATAACCAGATGCAGCTGCTCCTTGATAAAATAGTTGATTAATTCCAGTCGTGGGTAATACTAAAGCTCCAACCGGAGTAACAGCTGGGACGGCAGTGTATTGTGCAGCAGCAACGGGTGAATAATGATATGCGGCACCCTGTGCAGCATAATTAGCCGCATTATATCCTGAAACACCTTGTGTATATGCAGCATCAGCTTGAGTGTATCCAGAATCGCCCTGTGCGTAAACGTCACCATACCCAGATGCATCACGTTTTTCTATAGGTTTTTTTGGTATATTTGACGACCCATTAACTGATACTGTTACACAAAAAAACAATACGGCCGCAAAAAGCTATAATAAAAAAAAAAAGAAAAAATTATAAGAAATAATGAAAAAATATATTCTTCAATTAAACTTAAACTCTATTTCAAATACCTTGAATTTTTTTACGAAAATTTTAGATATCAAGTTACAAAAGAATTTTGTATGAACATTTAGAAATGAGTTTTTCAAACTTATTTTATCAAACAAGAATTTTTGGCAACATTATAGTTGTGTACATTTATGATCTGAAATAATTTTACTAGAACATTCATATTATTTATTTATACTTTGTAATAAACAATAGAAAACTTTTTTATGTAATACTGTAAATTAATATTAATGTATTATATTTTTATTGGTAAGATTCTACGTATAAACTATGACTCATTTAACTATTCATAATATTGTGGAAACAATCATCTTCTTACCAATATTTAACCAACTAAAATCCTGCAACACTTTCTATTGACTTTTAACGTTATTATAAATACTGATTACGTTATTATTATTAAGTTATGAATATAATTACTAAATACTTAAATGAAAAAATAGAAACTAACCAAAATATTACTTATTATAAACTAAGAGTTATATCCGAAGTTGTGTTTTAACAAATACATGAATATTGTCAATCCGGTTTATTGAGCGAAATGCAAAATTTTACTTTAATGTTACACCAGTCACGTGCATATGTGTTTAGACCCCGGACCTTTCACTAACTCTGGTATTGGAGTTAATCAGTTAAAGTGTTTCAAAAATATAGCTTTGACAAGATAGAAAGTTGTATTGCTTTTATTTTTGTCGTTTTAGTAACAACTCTGTTTGAGTGATATAATTGTAATTATACGCTTACATTTGCTTTAAATAATAATTAACAAATAATTAAATTCAGTTATTATATAATCACATGCGGATAAAGCTTTCATTTTTGTATGAATGTACTTGACAAACAGACGATTCGCATCACTAGTGTAGCGTTTATTTTAAAATGGTAAATACACGTGTTATGTGATGGTCAGTCTTGAATTCAAATCAATAATTACTCTGAATTAATTATTTAAACTGAATAATTTTATATACATTATATAGATATAATGCGAACTTATCAGTGAATGTAAAATCGGGTTTTTTCATAAGATCTACTATTTTAATAATGATTTCTTTTTAAACTTTCTTCTTAAAACTAACGTTAAGACACATAAATATACCAATTCTATCCAGATTTCTATGCATAAAATCGCAATAAACCGATTAATTAAATTTGAACATAAAAACATTATTACAAATGAAAATCGCATGTACAATGAATATGTAAATTTGTAACGATTTTAAAAACAATATCATAGAGAGTCGTTAATTTTTTTTAGTTTCTACAAGTTTGATATTTTATTATCATGTTATATATGTACTTCTACAAAATAGTTAATACTATCATAGCTTATTAACATAAAATATAAAATATAAAAATTAATAAATTAATTAAAATTCTAGTTACTATTTAAATGTTATTACACACTATGGTGTAGTATTAAGTTTAAATTAAAGAAATTTTAAGTTTTTTAGTTGTAAAACTTCAATTTTATAAAAATATTCAACATTTTCAAATAAATAGCATTAATAAATATGTTTGTTAACTAGAAATTATTAATTTATCAATTTTTTTTTTTTTTTTTATTGATGACTCTTGAAACTCTTTTGTAATATAACTTTTCAATTTACTCTTAAATATTTGATTGTTAAGACTAAATTCAATTTTTTTTTAAATACATGAAAAATAACTCTTAGATTTAAATCAACATATTTGTATGATACAAGTATGCTTATATTTTTTCAATTAAAATAAATTATATTGTACTAATTATATATAATAAAATAAAATAATTCATTCAAATAAATTAATAATAATAGGAAAGATATTATGCAATATTTTAAATAACTCAGTGTCAATACATTATACTCTTTGTATAATTTTGAAATGTAACTTTTTAAATAATATTTTTATTATGAACTTAGATCTAATAGAATATCTATACTTTAATTAAATGCTTGATAAAATTAGTTATTAAATAGTTTAATTTGAATGATTCATCTTATAACTATATAACATGTACCTTCTTAGTTAATTATTATTATTATACGTCCGAAAAAATAGCATTAATATAATGGGTTTACGTTAACTTTTTAAATGAATATAAATTTAAATTGTATTTTTTAAATTTTATATTGATCGACATTTTTTTATTTAATTATATAGTCTTACCGGCTTTGTTTTCAACGTCATATTTTAAATAGTTGGAAAAAAGTAATCCAATATTTTTGCTTTGGGTAACAGTAAAGCAAATTAAAAAGAAAATACTAAAATACTAAAAATCACGTTTCGTCTGCGATGATCCTTCGCGGTCGGCATTATGAGAAACTCATCGTAATGTCTTGGTGAATATATAGTTGGCAAAAACAACCGATGAATTCTCCCACTTGTTTTGCTGAAGATTCCAAGACACTTTTACTTTCAGACCGTTGCAGTCGTTACGATTGTTACCCTTGGCATTAGGCACACTACCTGTCGATGAACTTGTCCTCCAGCAGGCAATCTAAAGACGTTATGTGAGGCCTACAGACAAACGATTACGTTCGCGTGGATACTCTGTGTCCGTTACCGCCTACAACCGTTCCGGTTCGGCTGCCCGTGCGCATTATTCCTTTTCTTTTTCTGTTTTGGCTGTCAAATGTGTACTTGCTACTGAAGAAGTTCTCTGACAAGTTACTGCTAGTATTGTAATGGAGATGTTTTTCTAATGTTTTTGTCATTCAAGTGGTTTATTAAAGTTATGCATACAATATCCATTGAGAGACCTTTAGTAGATTCGAAAACAGAAAAAATATTTTAAACNAATGTTGAAAATTAAAAAAAAATATTTTAAATAACTAAACATTTTCTTCAAAAACAATTTTTTCAATTTGTTTTTAGTTTATTATATTTAACCATGTTAACTTGAAACTATAAAGTATAACTAATAGGGTGGCTCAAAAAAAATCGATCTTCGTAATGTTTATGAGATACCTCATAAATGTATTATATACATTAAAATAAACATTTTATGAAAATTTGAGATTAAAAAAAAAATTTTTACAGGTCGCTCAACGCGTTTTAAGAAAATTGACCAAAAATACTCAAAAAAACATAAAATGTCATTATTTATTCAATTTTTGTTCAAATTTCTTACTTAGTACATCTAAATTGTTCGTTTTTTAATGCCGAATAATAATAATTAGAAAAAAAAATTGTAAGTCC